GCCAGAGTTAAACCATGACACTTGTGTTCACAAAACACTTGGAAGATTTATGAAAATATGTAATTGTAAGGTACTTTGACATGTATTGGGTAAGCTGGTTCTGTTTTCAATCCTGCAGGCTTTCTTCTCTCTTGGCTAAAGAAGAATTGAACTTGAATGTGCAGCAAGTTATCGTTAACAGTTGCTGTGAACCATTGCTCTTGTGCAGTGCAAGGCAAAACAGCCAGGCAAAGTCTTTTCTGACAATCATCAGCAACTTAGCACACCAGTGTGCCTACCACTGCCTGCCAGATGTTGACATACCTACTCACAGTTCTGCACTGACCTCTGAGGATATCTCCACTCAGCCCCCATCCTCTGGGAATGACTTGAGCCAGCACACACTCACTGCCTCCTCCCTGGATTTCCTGAAGTCTCAGTCGAAGCTAATGGCCACAGTGGCATGTCTGACTGCATCTAATATACAGAAAATTGCCAAATCGAGTTTATCTTGGATGGAATTTCGAGGCAAACGGGAAGTGCCCTTAAGCTTGGATCAGATTTCCAGGGAGTGTGAGGCATTGTTAAAGGAGTTCCCAATATTGGAACGATTTCTTCTTGCTATGTTTGAGCCACTTCAGAATCAGCAAGAGGAGGGTAGCAGTTTGTCTACTGTCCTCTCTGGCAAGGCATACATATCTCTAGTTCTCCTAGGACTGCATTCCACCACAGCTGTTAAGGTATTAATGGGAGTCTTTGAACAAGCTCTTGCTGCCAAGGAGTGGGACAGAGCTCTGAAGGTCTTGGATCTGTACAGTCAGGATGTGGAGGAACTGATCAGCGTGAAGGATTCTGTGCTGAGCTGTGCAACTGCTGAAGGTAAGAAGGATTAAGTCAGGCTTTTTTCCCTTCGTCTTTTTTTCTCCTTTCTCTTTTTAAATTGAAGAATACAGCCTAGATCAGGAAGTGGAAGCTGAAGTGGTGGTCCTTGGGCAAATCTGAAGACAAACATATCCCTTCCTTTCCTTCATCTTCAGTTTGGTTTCTCTGATGGTGTAGTTTGTTTTGCAAATGTGCAAATCCTGACTAAATTAGTACAAAAGAACTGGAATGCGTCTATGGTGTTATTTTTATGTAAAGAGCAGGATACATCAGGAGACACTTCGTAGTGCTGTTGATACAACATCTACTATAGCAGTGTCATTGCCATATATGAATGATACATACTGTGAAAGGAGGTACCTTTTGGAGTCTATAGATAGTAAGTATCTCATGCTAACTTTGGTTACTTCCAGAGAATCTGGTGCTTGGGATGAGTCTTGTATGGATTTTTCAGCACTGTACTGTTTCTTTTGGTGATGTGATCCAGTGAGGATGAAGGTGTTTCTGTTTTCCAAATTATAGAAATTGAGTTTCAGACTAGTGGTTTGTTTCCTGCACAGATAAGGATGGTTGGCAATACTTGTTCCAAGTGAAAAATGCAACGCTGAGAAGTAGGCTGGCCCTGCGCTATCTGGACAAATGGCCCCTTGATGCATGTTTGGAAATCCTAGCTTATTGCATTTCTGATTTGGGCGTAACTGACGAACTAAAAGCCAGTCTGCAGAGCAGGAAGAAAGAACTTCAGGTTTATCAGAAGGTACAAAATCATTCTTCAAATAACTAATGAGGTGATACAGGCAGCAGGGAGCAAATATGTTTGCCTTTCAAAAGAAGTTTTAGTCCTTGGCTCTTTTTTGGTCATAATGGCTTTTAAAGTCTTTCATCCAAAACAGTTTGTGTGTTTTCAGTGCTGTAGTATTCAATTAACACTCTACTTCCATCCTTCATAACTTTCCCACTCTCCTATTAGCATTCAGGTCTGCAAACATTTGTGTGAGGCCCCTAGTTTTGCTAAGTATTTGTTTTTCCATTCTGTACAAATGCCAGACCCTCTGGAAACTTTCCATGGCAATTTATCCTTTTATAAGCTCCAGAGGTGTGGATGTACCTAGGCATGGTGTACAATAAGTGTGTTTGTATTGCAGTCAGTTCTTCTAACTGCAGGGTAGTGCAGGTACCCAAGTTAAGTCAGACTAGCTGGCCTGGAGTTCAGCACAGACTGAAAAGCCAAACAGAGTGAAAAAAAGGAGTCCTAAAATCCCTGCTGAGCTCTGTCTGGTGGTGGCTCTGCTGACAGCTCAGTTGTCTCTCTGTTAGTGCCAGCAGTGTCTGGAGTATACATGTACTTCTTAATCTATAACTATTACCATCTAGTCTTTTACAGACCTTCCCTTACAAATGTGTCTTGTAGACAAACCTCTGAGAAAATTGCATAGTCTTTTTTTGGAGTGCAAGTACATTACATCATCCCAGAAAAGGGCTAGAGATAAATGTGGGCCTCCTTTTTGACTTTTTTCATTGTATGAAGCAGGTCTTGATGTGATCAGCTCAGCTGTTTTCTTAGACTTAATGATTGTTGCAGCTAAAGCTTTTAAAATTTGCGCTACCCTATTATCAACTTTTTCAGATTTTGAATATGCAAAATGAACCGTTGTGGAATGACTGGCAGGATCTGAAAAAAGCCTGCACTGATGACCCCCAGACTGTCATGCACATCATTCTGAAAGCAAAGGTTAGGCATCATCACGTCAATTTTGTTGAATTAGAATGCATTAAACTTTGAATAGATGAATTTGTTGAAATGGCATCTGCAAACACCAGTCAGTGGAGATTACTGTGGGAGGAAGAATTCCTTTACTCAGTTCTGTGCTACAGAAACAAATACAGATCTGTTTAATGTCAAGATTTACATGTAGTTAATCATCCTTAAGTTATAACTCTTACCCTGAGATACAACCTGTTCTTTTCTCTTTGAATTTTGAAGATTTTAATAGTGTAGCTTTTGGCATAATACAGGCTTGATTATTATATAAGTTCTAATACTGTAGATCTGGCTGGCTTTAAAAGCGTCTCCCTAAAAAGCCAACTTGCTTACTGTGAGATAAGAAGGCATTCTCGAAGCAGGTTGTGACTGACAAAACTGACTATAATCTTCTTCCCCTTATCAATGTAATTATCTACTTCTTGCACATGGGAGACGAGTCTAAGCTACAGAATTTCGTGAAGTGGATCAGAGCTTTGGCAGAAACAGCTGTACCAGACAGGATAGAGTTTGTCCTTCTTTTATTTTTTATTTTTAGCTTTTTTTTTGTTTTCTTTTAAAATTCTTTAGCATTATGAATTGTGTGAGGAATGGGGGCACTTGTATCCAGTCCCAAGAGAAGACTTGATCAACCTTCACCGTGGGCACCTTCTCCACTTACTGGAGATGGGAGACATGGAAAAAGCATTGCAGGTAATAGCAGGACTCTTTCAGCCTTACATCTGTAGGTCAAGTAGGTTGAGAACTGTTTTCTTTGCTGCCTTTGTGTGCATTTTCATGGCCTTTTTGGTTCCTCCCTTAAGAGATGCTGTTTGCTTAGATATGCTTTCAGGATCCTGGCTCTCCCTGTTTGCTTAAGTGAAAATCCAGCTTGGCAAGCTAGTTGTTGGACCTGATAGCATAAATGTCACTCACATGGAAATACAAGGTCCCTTTTATTTCAAAAATCATAACAAGGCATTTCTGTGCTGCTTAAACAGGAGAAACAGAAGTGAAACTAGTAACAGGAATTGAACAATTGTGCTTCAGTGCCCAAATTAGTGAAGCATGAATTCTTCTGATTTTAATAATTACGGAGCTGTTGCTAACAACAGCCTAAGGTAAATTGCAGGCTCTTTCAGACTACATAGCTTTGAATATATTCTGGAAGCAATTCTGATCACTATGGCTTCTGTCACATTCCTTGCTATTTTTTTGCTTACTTAAATTTTTAAAATATTTTTATTAATAAATGGAGAGAATAGGCAATGAGTAGACTATAAATGGATTATCTAAATCATCCTTATATATGTAAGACACTTGTGGAAGTCAATTTGCTTGCTGGACCATTGTAGGGCAATAATCTGTCATGGACTGCCCATTATAAAGGCTACTTTCCAGGAGTGTAGTAGGCATTCACTGTATTTTGTGGTTTTGTAGCTTTTACAAAGAGTTGAAGACCCTGGTATTTGCCTTGCCATCACTGAACAGTCCCTTGACCAGCATCCGAATTTGGCAGCCTCTCACTTCTTGGCTGATTATCTCACAGCTCACTTCTATGCAAATCTGACAACAGCACGCCGTAATGAAATCCAGGCTCTCTATATGGGATCCAAAGTGAGTAAAACTCTCGCACTGTGGGTTTAACAGCAATATGTAATAATATAAGTAAATTTATAATATATACGTAATACATAAAATCTGTAGATTTTACCAGAGCAGTCTCGCCATATCAGGTCTAAGAGCCCAAGTCTCAGGATCCAAAGAAGAGTTAGAGATGGTTTAAAACTTCTCTTCCCCTTCTCTATCTCTGCGGTTCCTCTATTATGAGGTGATTGTAGCTCCCAATAGGAGCAGAGCAGACTTGTGTTGCTGTAGGGAGTGGAGGAATGCACAGGCTAAAAGAGGGTGAGAGTGGAATAAAATAAAATTGTGGTTTTTATCAGGACAGTTGCTATCTTTATCCCAAGTGGAAAAGAAAGCATTCTCTGTGTCAGTAACAACAGATGTCCTGCGTGTGGTTGGTGTACCACACGTGTATGGTGGTCTCTGACACTTACACGGCATGTTTCTCCCAAGTGCTTCCAAATGTAGACAGTATGACTCCTCTTTTTGGATGGCCATTACCTTGACAGAAATGGTACAGGTTCTCTGCTCAGCCTGGGGATACATACACTGATCAGTAGATTCCCTCAGTTGAATGCATTATATGTAAACAAAAGGCAGTGCTTTTGGTAATGTCTGTTTTGCCGTAGGGCTAGAAATAGTAGCTTGCTCCAGTGTATGTCCCAACAGCGTTTTGCTGAGCTTCCTGTTTCCTTACTTGTCCATTTTGAAGACCTGATTTAATTTGGGAACTGTCCATCATTAGGACAATTGCTCTTTATTCTCTTCTCTCAATATTTCCTGAAATGATGGAAGGATAAGGATTGGGCTAATAATCTTTTTGTAAGCTTATTTTAATAAGAGAATGTGCTGTACCCTGCTACAACGTATTTGGCACAGGGTCATATAATGCTTCCCACTCTTCAGCTGCCTCTGAAACGAGGCAGTCTTTTACAGAATGGGAAAATGGAAGCTGTGCTGGATTCAGCTAAGTGATTTCTGCAAATCTACTCAGTAAGTCTGTAACAGAAGTAGGACCAGGTCTGAGAAATCCCACCTCCATTTTTTTGGCCTCTGTGTTATTCCATTTTCTGCTTAAGCTACTGTGCTAGTTTCTTGGTTTTAGTCTCACAGAAACACGGGTTTGAATGTGTATCATTTTAACATATGCTTTTTCCCATTTGTCTCAGGTGCTGCTGACTCTGCCTGAGTTCTCCCGGGTTAACTACTTCCACCTCTCCTCCAGGCCACTGCTCATGCTGGAACAGCTCCTCATGAACATGAAGGTGGACTGGGTAGCTGTCGCTGTGCACACACTGCACCAGCTCTTAGCTGGTCAGGAAATCGGTTTTGCTGTAGAAGACATTGACCATTTGCTCTCCAAGTATGCAGAAAAAGCTCTCAACTTCCCTTTCGCGTTAAAAGAAAAGAGATCAGGTGACTGTCCACGAGAGTGCTGTTTTTCACTTAGGAAAGAAGGGCCAATTTCCCCCCAGAATCATTTCACCAGTTGTGCCACAACGTGTTTAGATGTGTGCCTCCAGTCTCCCTCTAGCCCAGAACATGTTCTTGAAGTCTTTGCCTTTCTTGTACATAGATGTTCTCAAGGACAAACAGCTTCAAAAGTTTCTCAGACTTTCCTCCGTTGCTCCTTTTTGGTGTCTCTTTTCTTATGTGATATTGTTCAAATTTATTTAATTCCTGTTTAATGCAGAGTTATTAATGACTTAAGCAGCTCTAAAACCTGCAGCCACTACATCTTCCGTCACATAGAATGGGAATTTAATCTTCCATAGTCTTTCCTTCTACTGGAGTCCTGTTCCTTTTTTCATACAAAAGACTTTTAAACTTGCAGTTCTATTTCTGTTCTCCCGCATTTAGCGCTCTCCTTTCAGGGTTTTAGAACCGGAACAGCAGAGGGTGCTGCAGATCAAGTCCAGTGCTTCTGTTTCACTGTATTCAAAGTGCGTGGCTGTGTACCTACCTGTATACCTGCATATATGGTGCTAACTTGCTGTATGCTGGTTTCCCAATGTTGACTTCATTTCGTGATTTAAAGATGCAGCTCTTGCTAACATAAAAGCATCACTTATCTATCTTTTCCTGCCAAATGACCGATAACTTTGCAAGTATGTTCCTTCCAGTGCGATGTGAAGCATTTAATATTTGCTGTGAGCGTCTTGTGTCAACTAATTGTTTCATATCTGATACTTAGTCTTTGCTGTCTTATTCCTGTGCCTATCAGTAGTCCATTGCTTTGATAAGGATCCCTTTCTCTGTGTTTTAGGTCACTGAATTGTGTATAGTTTTGCATGAATTGTGAGCTAATTTTCATGAAAACACAGTAATTTGTAATTACACAGCTAGTCCCATTTTGTGCTGACATTCTCACATACTCCTATGAATGGATTCCTCTAATCTTTGTAAAAACAGGTAGATACATGGGCAGTATTGGTCTCTGATTCTTTTTTTTCCCCTTTGTCCTAGATTCTCTGATACGTATCCAAGAAAGTCTCAGTCAGGTATTAGAGAGTGAAGCACTGTCTAAATCAGGATCATCGGAACTATCTCCTGTCAGCTTTACTGGTAAGGTTAATACCTCAGTGCCATTTTATTTGAAGTTGTTCTTGCTTATTTCATGTGTGTCCCACCGCTTAATAGTAACTTGGGTCACATTTAACAGAGGTAAGTAAGTCTTAACAGTTGGATGCCTTGGGCCCAATTAAAAGAACTTAAAGGGGAACAAGAATTACATGGCTTTGTTTTGATTTTTGGTAGGGATCTAAAAAATATCTGAAAAATCAGCACAAAACCTTCCTATTCCAGACCCTACAGAAAAGAATAAGCCTGAACAGATGATAGGAAACAGGACTTCCTCTTTGCCACAGCTAGGTTGCTAGTGGATTAATGGTGCTGCAGGGCAATAGTTCTGTGTCTTGACTTCTGGACACTCTGTCTGGGTGTATAGGCAGAGCCTGCCTGGGAAGCCCATCACTGTGGTACTTCTCCCTGTCTTCCTATTCTTTGCTCAGTAATTTTTTATTTCTGGATCTTAACTTATGTATTGCAATAGAAATCTCATTCATGTTGGTTTGGGAGTTTGTTTGTTTGGGGGTTTTTTTGGTCATTCTTTTGGTCCTTGAATATTTTATTTTTTTTTCCCTAGGATCCCTCTTGTGACCTGAGGGAAATAGAACACATTGTACTGTCTAAGAGGCTCCACTCACAATCCTCCAACACAAATAAATAGAAACAAAACAATTTAAACACAAATAACTGAAGAATATTTGTGGCTTAAACGCAACCACAAATCCTTCTCCACATTCCATTCAGCATCCAATGCAAGAGATGCATTCTTTGGAGGATATCTATTGTGAGAGATGCACAGTCAGTGCTGTCAGGGAAGGACTAGCAAAGGATGTCCTCACACCTCCAAGGCTGGTGATTCTCAGCAAGTGATAGCCCTAAAGCAGAGCTGTACAGTGATATCCTGATCTACAGTTCGGGGTGTCTGAACTGTCCTCTGGTTCTGTATCCTGAACTGAAGACTCTTCTTGCTCTGCCTGCATGAAGTGACAGCAGGATTGGGCTGCGTAACTCTTTTGTTTTTTCTCATAATGGTCAGCTTAATATCTGTATGTTGTTATAAAATTTGAATGCTTTGTCATCTGACGTTCCTTTGCAAAACAGTGTCTACTTGGATGAGTGTGAGTTAGCTTTATTGGAATGGAGACTTTTTTCCTTTTTTAGTTTAGTATTCATGTACACAGAAGGTGGCTTGCAGGGCTGCAGTGACATCTTGAACTTTTAAATTAGCCTGTAGTGTAACTGCCTCATATCATATAAACTAAAAGCCTATTTAATGCTGCCAGATTGGTTCAGTGAATATTTCTTTGGCAAAGACAAAGATTTAAACTCTTGCCTCTTGAACTGATTTCCCCTCAGTAGACTGTAAAGGGAACCAGAACAGGGAGGGATATGCTGTTGCTAGCCACACCACACCTCTCCTGAGATAAGAAAGAAAAGTCCCAGTCTTCAGGAATGTCAACACTGCATTTCCTTAGGTTTATTATTTAATGCTATATTGCTTCTTAGTACCCATATATAGGGGTATTTTTTTTTCTTCCTCCTCTAAGTCTCTGCTTGTGATACAAGAACAGATGTTGATAAGTTGTCTTCTACTTCTATGATTGTTATGGTAAAAGTCTATTAATATGTACTCTTGCTTATCCGTACTGAAGTGCTGTAAGTTTAAAGTCTTACAATTCTAGCTTAAATCATACGTATTCCTTACACAATGTCATTCTGCCATGCCTGGTTGAAAGATAATGCTAGTCATCTTGGGAGCCAGAAAGATCTAATAACCTCAGTAAGTCAGTAGTGCTTTCTGGTATTCAAGACTCCATTAAACAGCTTAAATACTGTTCCATGTTTTTCTTGTTCTGATTCTTTTTAAGGTGTCACCATATCTGCAAGTCCGAGAGACAGAAGTCTGCAGCAGAATTTGTTTCCTCAAGAATTTGTGCCTCCTGAGAAGCCACCACCAAAGCAGAAATGGATACCTGATGACACCGAGACAATATGTATGGTTTGCAGAACTGAACGCTTTACTATGGTAAGGAGCAAAAATGAAATACGGACATTCCTAGAACTGTGACCTTAATATGAACACTTGCTCATAGTCTTTTACCTAAGACACACTAGCTGCTTTAGCAAGTTTGCCTGCATCAGTGTAGGCCTGGCAAGACTGCCAGTCCTTTGATATTTAACTGATAGTTTCTATGTAGTGTAGTTGAGAAGACTGGCAACAATTAGCTTCTTCAGAGTCCTGTGAAGTGATAGAGCCTAAAGAGCAAGTCTGGTCATCAGAGAAGAGACAACTAGGAGATCTCAAAGGTGTGTAATAATAGCAGTATTAATATTTCAAAAGGCTGTCTAGTTGACTGCGCTAGCAAGAAATAGCATGAGAATCATATAGTTCAGATTATCAGTATAGAAAATGTAGCCTTGGCTGTTGGTTATGCTGCTCTATGAAACATGTTGTTTCAAAGAATACTTGAGCAACAGTATTGGTGCTCGAAGGGGGAAGATTAATTTTGAGTTTTGCAGGTGTGCTGGCAGTCTGTTATCTTCTATTGCTTAGAAACAGTTGTGTTTTCTCAAAGTCTCTGTTGCTTCTGAATTTGGAAATTATGAAGATGGCATCAGAAAGACAGTCAACAGCTTCTAACTCTTCCAAGAGATGATCTAATTAGTAATGTGATCATAATTAGGACAGTTTAAATAGTGGAAAACCCAAGTCTGCAGCAAACATGTTTTAAGTACCTGCCTCTGGGTTTTGGTGGTTCTGGTTTTCGGTTGGGTTTTTTTTTTGGTTTTTTCCATGCCCTCTCCAGACAGGAATTGTAACAGTGAAAATCAATCATTGTATAGTTCTGAAAAGGCTTACCATATGTGATGTTTCCTCTCTTCAAATGGAGTAAGTTTACACGTGAGTGGAGGCAGATACAGGACGGGATTTTGGTAAATTCCCTCTGTTGCTCACCCGTGACCTCTTTTGCTTAGTTCAACAGGCGCCATCACTGCAGGCGCTGTGGCAGGCTGGTGTGCAGCTCTTGCTCCACCAAGAAAATGGCATTAGAGGCTTGCCGAGAAAATCTGTCTCGTGTGTGCGATCAGTGCTATAGCTACTACAACAGAGAACAGCTGCTTGGCTTGGTACATGACACAAGCACGTAAGTCCTTACATTCTGGTTCTCCTCACTTTCATGTACACAGCAGAGTACGTGAACAGACAGAGAGAAATAACCATTTGGGTTTATTCTGGATAATATCATATCAGCTTTTAGGCTTCCAGCTGTTGGGATTTTCAGAACTGATAGGTATGGGGCTGTTCCTTATGCCTCAGTTTACTTTTCGTATTAGAAAGAACATTGGAGAGGCAGGCAACAAAGACTTCAATACTTTAGCATCAGTTGATTGTTAAACCTATGGATTGAATGCTTTGCAAAACTTATTCAGCACAAACTGCTACAATATGACAAAGTTTCTTGTAGTTTACTTAACTCCTGGATTAACATCACATGTTGGCTAGCTCTGCTGATCAGTGTTTTAATGTTATTCCATAATCCCTTGATTACCACTGCTTGAACCCTTGAGGATTCGAAAGCAAGTTCTTGATTAGATAGGCTTTGAAACTGCCCTCAATGAAAGGGACAGCTGTGATGTCAGATTTTCATGATGTTGTTGCTTTAAGCTGAGAATTGAATGGAAATTCATTGGGTGTATGTTAGGCCAGCTGGTGAAAAGCGTGGCTGAACAGAGCGAGGTCTACTCTCTGTGACCCTGTCTTGCTGATACAGATATCAGTTGTGTATGTAGTTGTATCAGCAGGCTTGACAGTGTCACAGAGAGTAGACCTCGCTCTGTTCAGCTCCACTTTCAGCTGCGTTTCCTCTTTTCCCAGCGTGCTGGCAGATAGCAGTATCTGCTACGGCAGTATCAGCAGGCTTGCTGGGAAAAGAGAGATACTGTGCAGATCTGAAAAGGAACCTCTGAGAAAACAAGCAGTCACCTCTAGCCAAAGCAGTTTGAGTCAAAATGGTTGCCTACACTGCCAGATTAGGTCAGCAGAGCCTAGCTGTGAACTTGAATGCCACCTGTCATGTTTTAATTGCTTAAGTGTCTGGGTTTTTTTATATTTGCCCTATGAAAACCAACTAAATCTAAAGGACAGAGAAACCTGGATGCCAAAAACTGCATTTTAGCTCTGATGTATTCTGATAATGGGCAGTTCTTCTTGTTCTCAGTTTCTGCTTTTTTATGATGTGTGCAACAGTACTATTCCTACACAAGGTTATAAGAACTAATTACATAGTGTAGTTGGAATACAACAATGCAGAGGCAAGATGCTAAATTTCCAGACATCTGGGAGTAGCAGCAGGGCAATAGGTCAGAGAGGGCAGGAAGGGAGAGATGATAGATTTTTACAAGGCAGTGTTCTGAAAGGGCTAGCCATACTGATACTGCTAGTATCAGTAAGTGTTTTCCCCAGTGTGCTGGACTAGGCATGATGTTTCTTTCTGTCATTTTATTACAGCAGAAAAGAAGATGAGGACCAAGTGGAAGGTAAGGAATGGAATAATGTTAAACTTCATTTTTTTTAAGTGCGTGATTAACAGCAGAGTTAAGGCATAGGAAGCTGATAAATCTAGTTGCAGCTGAAGGGTGAGCAGAACTTCAGTTAGCAAACGTATCACTGATGGTTTTTGCATGTGCAGGCTGAAACTGAGCATTCCAAACTTCTGTGAATGAAAATTAAAATTTAGGAGAGACGCCTGAGCCGATATTGAACATGCTGGATGGGGATTAAAGGTCAGGACTGAAAACAACAGTTGGAGAATGCACTTTGCTTACTAGAAACAGTCAGTGAGAGGCTGTGGTATGAGTAGGAAGTAATTGGCTGTGCCAACTCTTCAGTGTGCTGTGGTGTGTGATACAATGTGCTGGCTGGCGTAGCACAGGATGAGGCACCTCTCATGGGTCTGGTTATGTCCTGATTTCCATCTCCTTTGTCAGTTGTGTGAGTATGGACTACTGATTTCTCTTCAGTGCCTCTATTCTACATCTAATATCATACATAACACTTCAGGAATAATAACAAAATTCTGTTGACTTTTTCTATGCCATTTTTCTTCAGGAGGTATTTACTGTTTGTTGTTTAGTCCAGTGTTTGGGATGATTCTGCAAAATTTTCCTGCGCTGACATGAAATTCTGGCAGACCCATAGTTCTTTGAAGTGCTTATAGCAGTAATGTGAAACAGGGTGTAAAATCTGCGTTTTTGCTGCAAAACAAATAAGAGTATTTTTCTTTACTCATCCTTAAAAGTATGGTGGGCTATTTGAGCTTTTATTATTTTTTTTCTGTTGACAGAAGTTTGCTTTACAGCTATCTTTGGTACAAGACTGGAACAGCTGAAATGTAGTTACTGAGCTGCTGGTTCTTGTTAGATCTTTCTCTTTGCCTGCAGCATTGCTACCCACCACTGGGGCCATACAATCCATTCAGTAGAAGTGAATAAGAACAGTATGGAAATTCTCAGATTTAGAAGGGAGAGTGTTTTATTCTGCTTTTCTAACTTGTCTGATGAAACTGTGAAGAAGACTTAGCAAATGTTTTCAAGCCTGGCTTACTGTAATTCCAGTTTCTAGCTCAAAATATAAACAGCAGTTTTCTTGTGGTTTTTTTTTTATTTTAATTCACCCTGTAGTTAAAGTTAGTCAACATTCCAACCATCCTTCTGTGAAATCTAGAACAGTGAATTTTGAAACTTTTTTCCTGAGTTTTTCTAGAGAGAAGAGGAATTTTATCAAGGAAAAGAGTAGACAATTAGCATCATTCTTCATTTCTTACATTGAGATTGGCCACTGTTTTCCTGCCAGGACCCACAACCACAGGCTTGAGCATCAGAGGTCTTGTGCATTCTCAGCTGCAGTCAGATGACAGACAGTATTTGATTTGTAGCTATTCTGGGTTACTAATTTCAAAACAGAAATTTCCTTGGTCTGGAGTAAAGAAAAAGACTTTTCACAGAATTTAAGTTCCTTGAATCCTTTGATCAAAACTCCAATTTTCTCCAGTACTATTTTATATGAAAACTTAATGCAAGTACTTATCTCTTCTCACAGTCTTTTGCCTTAAAGCTGCTGGACTATATGTTCAAATAACCTGAATTCTAAAAAGAAGATACATGCAACTGCCAACTTACCCTTTCTTTTACAACTGGTTCTTCATTTTCCCATTTTAGCTGTAACCCACAGCTCTCATTTCCACTTCCCGCCTGCTCAGAAATATCAAATAACTTGCCTGAGGGATGCTAAAGAGGGGAGGTTGTTGTGCTTGATGTTCAGTAAGGTAAAAATTGGATAGTCATTTGAAGTTGTGTTCCCGGAGCCAGGTTTTGGTGACAGGGTGTTGGTAGCAGTGAGAACAAGTTTAGGTACATTTTACCAGCCTGCTGAAGAATGGAAATGTTTGTAATCTATGTGCTGGACATGTGATAGTGGCACAATGAGAGGATTACAGATGACTTTTTTACAAGGGTATAGGAATACTCTGCATTATGTGTCCTTAGCCAGGGGTGTTGCTTCTTGTGCAATGATTCTACTTGGTGTTTTCTTTTTGACTGCAGAAACTTCTAATAACGAGTATTCCACGATGGTGCGCATACCCAAGACGACTGAGCTTGAATGGATTTTTTCCCTGAATGAGGAGGAGAATGAAATTGTACGCAGTGAATTTTATTATGAACAGGTGAGGTCTGGAGAACAAGAGTCCAGTATAAGCAGTTCCCTGGAGAACTACCTCAATACCCATGCTTGTCTGTCTTTCCTGGAATTGCCAGGCTCCCAGCTCCTCCTTGTGTATTGCCATCCTTAGCCTGCACAGTGACAGCATAGTGTGTGGCCACCAATTGATAGAACACTGCCGCAAGTTGTCCCAAGGGCTCACTAATCCGGAGGTGGATGCTGGTCTCCTTATGGACGTCATGAAACAATTGCTCTTCAGTGCCAAAATGATGTTTGTGAAAGCTGGAAGGAGCCAGGATCTAGCGCTCTGTGACAGGTGATTTATCAGATGTTCACTAGGATGTATTGAGGTATTGTTGAAACCATAATCCTTTTTTACTGGGGAGTGGAGGACAGGATAGTTGTTTTGTGATGGTACTGTGGACATGTTAAAGAAGAGAGGCTCATAATTTAAGAATAATGTAAGAGTTCAAATAGTAGAAATTCAAGTAATATGACTACATAATAATTACTGAGAAAATTCTCAGAGTAGGAAAAAATAATTCACAAACATTAGATAAATATTCTGTTTCTGGTATCGTGTGTCTCCTTTCAATCTATATTTCAGTATAGGATTTGAAACCTCTGCTTCCTGAGAATAATGAGCATTTTAACTTTCTTCAAGTTTTGTCCCACGGACCTTGAGGTGGCAGGTGTAACATGCACTTTGCACACATACTGGTTTGATTTGGTAACACACAGCTAGTCAGTCCGTGTCTGCCAGTGTTCCACTGAATGTGGCAAAAAAGCTCAGTAAAAAATAGCCTGAAGAGGACAGCATGACGGGTGGAGAAACTGGATATACTGGAGATTAGGAACCACTGTTCTAAGAGTTGTCTTTGATCTAAAATTCTTCAAGTGTATGATGATAGTGAAAGTGTATGTATTTGTTTAACCTCTTTGTTTCCTCCTAGCTACATCAGCAAAGTGGATGTGTTGAATATTTTGGTTGCTGCTGCCTACCGTCCAATACCATCTTTGGATCAGATTCTTCTCCCTGCAGCAGTAACAAGATTAAGAAATCAGCTTCTGGAAGCAGAGTACTATGAACTAGCTGTAGAGGTAATGACAGTGGGGGGATGTCAGTGATGATAATGCTTCCATAGTGGCTTTTGTTTTCCTCCTTCCTGAATTCAGATGGATGTGATGTGTGAAACAGACAATATTTAAACACTTACAAACTAGGATTAAGTTTTTAAATGAGAAAGAAATTATTTTCTGAACACTGGAAAAAACATTCTGAGAAGGAAAAGTCCTCCTGCTGTGGAGCAGGCTGCTGAAGGGAAGGGTAGGGGCCTTGTTCCCCAGTACAATTAAAATTGGAAGGGCCTGATTGCAAGAAAGGCATTAAATGGAGAAATCTTGCATCCAGTAGAAGGGCTAAGACATCTTCTGTGGCAGAACTTTATCTGAAGCTTGTATGTTTGATTTCATTTCTGTAATGCCTCAGCAGAATTTGGTAAGGCACCTTTTCCAAGTGTTTACCTGAAAGTTAGCAGTGGTGGCCAATCTGTCTAGCAGAGCTCATCTGGTGTAGTTATCACCTTCGGACTCCCTTCTGCTCCCAGGATTTTGTAAGCCTCCGTTTATGGCATTGCAGTTTGTGAGGAAAGCTAACAAGCTGAATTAGGAGTTTTAAGGGTTAATAGACAGCAGGAACAGATGACCTATTTGAATAAAAACAGTTCATGTTTAAAGACAGCTGATCTACGAAAGAAAATCGGAGATAAATTTGATCAGCAAAGTTGTGAGAAATAAAAAACTCCTGGCAGTTCATGAAGCATCTTCTATTGCTTTAACTACAAAGCTGATGAATTCTCCTCTATAAAAATAGTGTCTTTTATAAGAAAAGCAGATGTGAAAACGTCTTGAATTGTAAAACTGGTGAACTGAAATTACCCAGATACACAGGTGCTTAAACTTGTACAATAAAAAAAATTTACATTTGGAGATGATGAGTGTTTTGGTAGTAGGTGTTTTGTGCCAGTAATCCGGAAATAATCAGTGTGTCTTTTTGGGCTGGGTTGGTTTGTTTGTTAGTTTTGATGGGAAATGTGCTTTAGGAAGCGAAAGGGCACGATCGTAGACTGTGTGATGGTAATCTAGTTTTCCTCTTTTTTTGTACTGGGACTGTGTTGCAGCATTAACACGCGATTTCTAATTTAGGTTTCTACAAAATCTGGGTTGGATCCAGGTGGAGCCTGGCATGCCTGGGGAATGGCTTGCCTTAAAGCTGGAAATTTAAGTTCAGCAAGAGAGAAGTTTAACCGATGTTTAAAGCCGCCTATGGATCTAAACCAGCTGAACCATGGTTCGAGACTGCTGCGGGATGTGATACAGTACTTGGAGTCCACAGTGAAGCCCATACTCATTGCGGTAAGTCCTCTCTCTGCTCTGAGGGGCTGTAGCAAAGCCAAGGAGTGATGTTTTAATACACATCTTACAGCAATGCATGTCACACTATCAGGTGTTAGGGTGTTTTTTTCTTATTATGTCATGATTGCTTATTGTAAATTGAACAGTGTTGAAAAATTTGTTAGCTGTTTCATCACAATGAATTGCTGCCTGAGAACAAGATCATAGGACTTTATAGTCATTTGGGGGCACACTAAGTGGAGGGAAAGGAAGGAATAACTGGTTAACATGTTCTGATTAGGTACCAAAATATGACTTTTAATACTAAGTCACTGCAGAATCATACTAATGAAAGACCTCTTAGTAGTACATATTTTAGGAGACTAAAACAAGACTGTTTGAACCAGGTGATTAAAGTAGCTGTCGTTCCAATGTAGTGTTTATAAAAAGCATTGCTGGATTCTCAGCCCTCTAAAGCAATGTCTGTTTTAAAACCAACAATAACAGAAGTGCTTCAGAGCTGACAGGATTTAACTGAAATGAAAGTTTTCCTCTTTTTCCTCTTACTCATCACCTGTCACTGAGTCCCTGTTTTAATGGCAGGATGATGATTACTTTGCCACACTGAGGGAACTTGAAGCAACGCTGAGAACGAGAAGTCTGTCTCTGGAGATGATGTGTGAGGGGAAGATTCAACACAACAGCTACTATCAAGAGTGTCTGTTCTATTTACACAGTTATGGCACTAATCTGGCGATAATAAGCTTTTACATGAGACACGACTGTATGAGAGAAGCACTTCTTCACTTGTTAAATAAGGTGAGTGATCTAATTTGCCATCACCTAAATTGCAATTTGAAAAGTAGCCAAGAGGACTTCAAGGCCGGTCTGAGATGATAGTGAGCATCATGCAGCCTTCTGGGTGTTTTTTGCACAGGAGTGTTCTGAGGTCCTAAATGTTGTTATGCCAGCTATCCAGTGAATGACAAGAATTCAGTGATATGAAAAAATAACTGTGATCTTTACATCTTATGTTTAACCTTTCTTCCCCATTGTTTGAAACAGTGGCTTCTAGAAAGGAGAAAGTGCTTTATTTTGGGGGTTTTTTTGGTAGAGGTCCTGCATCAACAGCACTTTGTCTTTTTCCTACAAAGCTGGAAATGTGGGACTATTGTCAGACAATTCAGAAGGGAGAAGGGAAATTCTGAATTCCACCATACCAATAACACTAGACACTCTCTTGGTATTGTTTGTTGAGTCAGACACCCACGTTTGCACTTACATAACCGTTAGGAATACAAGGGAATATAGGATCATGTCCCAGAGTACAGAAAGCTAGGGAAGCCAAAAAGTGGTTTCCAGTCCTCCCTTAGGAAAACTGCGTAATATAGGAGGGTTTAAGAATATCTGGAGAAAGCAGTTCTGTTGGTGCTAAATTACAGTTGAAGACAGGAATTATTCCAACAAGGTCCTTCCTAATTCATGAAGGGTGCTTCTCAGGAGGTGTGAATCCATTACGCCTCACCAGCTTGAAAGCTGATGAGTGTGTGGGGTTTTGTTTGTTTTCCTTTTTAAGTTTCTGTGCTTGTGTTTGATTTACGGATTATTTTTATTATTATTTGAAATAATTCTTATTGAGAATGTACAACTTGAACCACCAAATTCCATCATCTTCTGTCTATGAGCTTTATGAATAGAAAATGATAATATTTGTAAGATTTACTATCAGCTCTGCTTTCACATTGTATCTTCAGTCATTCTAAGCTCATATACCCATCTGCATATTAAATTTGCTTTTCAAATGTGTCCTGTATATCAGCTTAAATTTGCCTTTGAAGGAAAGTTGCATATTATTGCGGTGTTGGTGAAATAACTTCACTAGTTAAGTAGCAGACTTTGAAAATACTCTAGACATACAATTTGATGTGAAAGTTATGGACAAAGGAGACTGGTAGTGATCATGCAAACTACAGAGGAAGATGTGTTACCTTAAAGCTGTCAGGTACTAGGGTTCTGGTGAAACATTTAGCATTTGGTTGTTTGGAAACACTGTATGTGTACAGGCTTTGTAGTTTGGATCTTCTGAGATTAAAAAAAAAAACCCACCCATACCTTGTTTTTAAAACGTTTATGCAGGCCATGTTGTCATACGCGCTGCTCACATAGTAACATCCGTGTGTGAGGTGGCATTTATGAGACCATGGTCAGGAGGTCAGGGGAAGTAAACATTCCCTTCAGGTACTTGTGAGGTTTAATCTAAAGTACTGGGTCCATTTTTGGGTCCCCTTTACAAAACAGATATTGTCAAAATGGAGCAAGTCTAATGGAAAGCCACCGAAGTGGCTAGGGGCCTGAGAACGTGATATATGAGGAGAATGATAGAGCTAGTTTTTTCCATATTGAAGAAGAGAAGGCAGAAGGAGACCTGTGTGCTGTTTTTAGCTACCATGTGGGTAATCACAGAACAGTTTGTGTTGGAAGGGACCTTGAAGATCATCTAGTTCCAACCCCCCTGCCATGGGCAGGGACACCTTCCACTAGACCAGGTTGCTCCAAGCCTCATCCAG